GTTGTCTTATTGCTCTGGCTAGGACTTCAAGTACTATTTTGAAGAGGTAGGGAGAGAGTGGGCAGCCTTGTCTTGTCCCTGATTTCAGTGGGATTGATTTAAGTTTCTCTCCATTGAGTTTGATGTTGGCTATAGGCTTGCTGTATATTGCTTTTACTATGTTTAGATATGTGCCTTGTATTCCTGATCTCTCCAAGACTTTAAACATGAATGGGTGTTGGACTTTGTCAAATGCTTTTTCAGCATCTAAGGAGATGATCATGTGGTTTTTCTCCTTCAGTTTGTTTATGTGGTGGATTACATTGATGGATTTCCATATGTTGAACCATCCTTGCATGCCTGGGATGAAGCCTACTTGGTCGTGGTGGATGATATCTTTGATGTGTTCTTGGATTTGGTTTGCAAGTATTTTATTGAGTATTTTTGCATCAATGTTCATAAGAGAAATAGGTCTGAAGTTCTCTTTTTTTGTTGGGTCTTTGTGTGGTTTAGGTATCAGGGTGACTGTTGCTTCATAGAATGAGTTTGGTAATGTACCTTCTGTTTCTATTTTGTGGAATAGTTTGAGGAGAATTGGTGTGAGCACTTCTTTGAAGGTCTTGTAGAATTCCGTGCTGAAACCATCTGGCCCAGGGCTTTTTTTGGAGGGGAAACTGTGAATGACTGCTTCAATCTCCTTGGGGGATATAGGGCTGTTCAGTCTTTCTACCTGATCTTGACTTAATGTTGGAAGATGGAATCTATCAAGAAAATTGTCCATTTCATTTAGATTTTCAAATTTTGTAGCATATAGACTTTTGTAGTATGACCTAATGATTGTTTGAATTTCCTCTGTGTCTGTAGTTATGTCACCCTTTTCATCTCTGATTTTGTTGATTTGGATAGATTCTCTCTGCTTTTTAGTTAGTTTGACTAAGGGTTTGTCTATCTTGTTGATTTTCTCAAAGAACCAGCTTTTTGTTTCATTGATTCTTTGAATAGTTTTATTTATTTCTAATTGATTGATTTCAGCCCTGAGTTTGATTATTTCCAGCCTTCTGCTCCTCTTGGGTGTATCTGCTTCTTTTTTTTCTAGGGTTTTCAGTTGGGCCATTAAGTTGTTTGTATGTGCTGTTACGAATTTCTTCTTGCAGGCACTTAGTGCTGTAAATTTTCCCCTGAGCACTGCTTTCAGTGTGTCCCATAAATTTGGGTATGTTGTGCCTTCATTTTCCTTGAATTCTAGGAAGTCTTTAATTTCTTTATTTCTTCCTTAACCCAGATGTCGTTGAGTAACAGGTTGTTCAGTTTCCATGTACGTGTAGGCAGTTTGTTATTTCTGTTGTTGTTGAGGTCCAGCTTAAGTCCATGGTGGTCAGATAGAATACAAGGGATTATTTCAATCTTTTTGTATCTGTTGAGGCTTTCTTTATGACCAACTATATGGTCTATTTTGGAGAACGTTCCATGTGGTGCTGAAAAGAAGGTATACTCTTTTGAATTTGGATGAAAAGGTCTGTAGACATCTATTAGGTCCATTTGATTTAGGGTCTCTGTAAGTGTTTTTATTTCTCTATTTGTTTTCTGTTTAGTTGATCTGTCCCTTGGTGAGAGTGGAGTGTTGAAGTCTCCCACTATTAGGGTTTTAGGATCAATGTGTGATTTAAGCTTTAATATTGTTTCATTTACGAATGTAGGTGCTCTTGTATTTGGGGCATACATATTCAAAATTGTGATGTCCTCTTGGTGGATTTTTCCTTTGATGAGAATATAGTGGCCGTCCTTATCTTTTTTGATTAACTTGGGTTGAAAGTCTATTTTATTAGATATTAGGATGGCTACTCCCGCTTGTTTTCTGGAACCATTTGCTTGAAACTGTAAAAGATTCTAAGTAAAAACTTATTTTTTTTCCTGTTTTTCAGGAAACACACCACACAGATAAACTAATCTGTCTCAAATATTTTACATGAATATTTTCAGTTCTCTTCCTTAGTAAGGAGTATTTAATTATCAATTAACTAGAAGATTAGTTAGCTATAAATATTCAAATAATAACTGTGGTAATGGAATAAATAAGGCAATGAGAATCAGCGAAAGGAATTAGGGGCTACATATAATGATTTGTTAGTTTGTCAGACCTAGATAAAGTAACAATAGTTTAGGGAATTATTCCAAAACATCAATGCTGTAGAGAAGAGATTTTGTTTGCTATCTACCACTAAGTTCCCAGCATGGACTTGAGCTATAGTCTCTGACCGAAGTTGTGACGTTGATTTGATGACATCCTCTGTCTTTATTCTAAACTTGGCCTTCTAAGATAATATGACATTCAAGACATCATGTGCAAAGGGACAAGATCTGCCTCTGGACATTAGCTCAGATGCTACTGTCACTCTGTTTCCTACATTGTCTTCTGAGCTATTTTTTCCTTTGGGTTAAGTTTCTTAGTAGGTAGATTGTTTACCTAGCATCCATGTAGTCCTGGGATCCATCTCCCTACCTTATGAGTCAGGCACAATGGTGTGTATACCTGTAGTCCTGGGACTTGGAAACTCAAGGCAGAAGAGTCAGAAAGTCAAGGCCATCTTCTGGTACACTGTGAGTTCAAGGCTATTCTGAAATACATGATAAAAAGAAGCAGAAGCAGAAAAAGATGAAGAAGAAGAAAAAGAAAAAGAAGAAGAAGAAGAAGAAGAAGAAGAAGAAGAAGAAGAAGAAGAAGAAAACAAAAGCAAACTACCAAACAACAATAACAATAACAACAACAACAAAAACCAGAGAAGAGGGAAGAGGCTTGAGGGAGTAGATACAGAATGCTTGCCTAGTGTTGCAAAGGTGTGGTTTAACCAGTAGAACAATTTAAAATATATGTGTGTCTGGGGTTTTAGGAAATGTGAGTTCTACATCAAAAACATCATTCACTAATTTTTAGCTATTCTCATTCCTGTTAGAGAATATGTTATTAAGAAATGTTTGTGGAATCAAAAAGTGCAGGGAGAAAACAATATTCTCATGGAAACATGTACCAAGGTTCTGAAGAAAGGAGAAAGTCTTGCACAAACATTTTCCCACTTTACACTTTTATTCTTTGTGTCCTGAAAATTAAGATGGAGGAAAACATTTTCTTTGTGGTTAAGGGCATCCTGGGTGTTTCTATTTGTATGCCTTAACACCACCACATAGTGGACACTGCCAAGCCTACTTTCCCCTTCTTCCCTGAGTTCCTTGAGTTAGGACACATTTTTTCAGGCACCAAGTTTGAAAACCTGGGAGTTGAGTTTTACAGGCCATCTGGGAGAATGAGGTTCCGACATCCTTACCCTAACTGCACTCGTGGCCCCTTCACATTTATACGGACACTCAGTTAAGCAATTTTGTTCATCAACTGTTTGAGTACATTATGGAAACTGTAAGAGAATATCTGTTGAGTGCAGCCACAATTTATTTTAATAGTGTTAGCAAGAAGCAAATAACAAGGGAAATGAGTAATATTATTTGCTGCATATACAAGCAGTACAATAATTGGCTCTGAGACTGGGTGAAAAGACCATAAAAAATCTTTTATATCACTCCTAATTGTGCCCCAAATTGAAAACTAAGAGTTTACAGCTGAAAAACAAGAAATGTAATTTAACAGTTTTGTCTTTTTGTGGAAAATGGACTGGATAGGGAATCAAACTTTGCATATGTCAGCTTTTTTGGCATGTCACAAAGATTATTATTAATGTTGAGACTGAATTCCAAACCATTTCAGGTAATATCTTGTTCATCTCTTATTTACAAAAATAATTAAGTTTAAAGTTTACAATGTCCTTTAAGAGAGATGTGTTTGTATCCACTAACTATTAGGAATGAGTGCCTCAGAATCCATCCTTGTCCTTCCCACTTACTAGCCACAACTGCTTTAAGGAGAGAATGACTTGGAAGAAAAGTTCAAATTTGCCATGACTGATTTACACATAAACCATGTCACACTCAACTGGGAATTGCTGTGTTGTTCTGAGAGCATGTTAATAGATTTAGATTGTGTTTTATTTATATATATTTTAGTGATAAAAATGTAGAAGACAGTCCTTCTGCTGGCTCAATGTCAACTTCAAATTTGAACATTGATTAAGGAACAAAAGAAAAGAGAAATATTTTCATAAGTGTTTCAGTTGAAGTTAAATTACAAACTATATGGAACAAAGATTATTTGAAGGATTCTAAAATGGAATTGAGTCAAAGAAATTGTCAAAGAAAGGGAAGGATAATCATATGGTTAAAAAATACTATCATTTTGAAAAATATGAGGGGAATGGCTAAAGAGATATTTCAGTTGGAAAAAATGCTAACTGTGCAAGCCTGGGCTCCCGAGTATGATCATTACTGCCTGCACTGACAAGCTGGCAGTGCTAGGGTGAGCTCGTAACCCCAGCACTGGGAGGGAGAACTCAGAAGCCTCTGGGAGTCCCTGGCCAGCCAGTCTGGCCTACTTCCTTAGTTCTAAGCCAAGATCATTTTTCGAAACACAAGGTGGACAACACCTGAGAAAGCACAGCTGAGAAATGACCCCAGAGGTGAAGTTGTGTCCTGGAATCCACACATGCAGCATATCCTCCGTGAGCTCCCTCATACACCAGAGCACCCATGATATACACAGGACAAAGATCATAGAACCTCTACTATGCACTGTACTTAAACCCCAATGGTACCAACCAAAGGAAAAGTAGATTATTTATTATGCACTTAAGAAAGTGACAGTTCTTCTCTGAATTTTAAGTTACACATTTTTGTCTGACCCATTTAAAAGTTAATGGCTTTGTGTGAGATTTTATTTTTTAAACTGAATATAGTCACAATCAACAACCCAATATGTTACCAGGAACATACCTGGAATCCAAGCACCTTTCATGTCAAGGCAGGAGAATTGAGTTAAAATCAAATTAGGCTGAGCAATGAAATTCTGTTTCAACTTCTTTACTCCCCTCTTCAACCACCAATAAGAGTCAGGTATTCTTTTTATTTTTTCTTTGATTTTTTTCCGCTTCGGCAGCACATATACTAAAATTGGAAGGATACAGAGAAGGTTAGCATGGCCCCTGCGCAAGGGTGACACGCAAATTCTGTTTATTTTTAATTAAATTTATGTCTTTATTTACTTTACTTCCTGTTCACATTCCTCTTCCTCCTCTTCAACCAGTCCCACCTTCTCACCCTCTTTCCCCTTTCCCCCATATCCTTCTCCTCAGAAAAGCCTCCCCACTCTACAAACCCACCCCAGTACATCAAGTTGCATCAGGACTAAGGGCGTCCTCTTGACTGAGGCCAAACAATGCAGTCCAGATAGGGGAAAATATTCTAAAAACAGGCAACAGAGTCCATCATAGAGACAACCCCTGCTCCACTGGCTAGAGGACTCACATGAAGACCAAGCTGCTCATCAGTTACAAATGTGTTAGGGGCCTAGGTCCAGTCCAGGCTTCAATCTCTGTAAGCCCCAATGGGCCTAGATTAGTTGACTCTGTTACTCTTTCTTGAGGTGTTCTTTTCCCCACTAGGACCTTCTATCCATTCCCCAAATATTCCACAAGACTCCCCAAGCTCTGCCTAAAGGGCCAAAATATCTGTTTATAGGCTGCTGGGTAGAGCCTCTCAGAGTATAGTTATGCTAGGCTCCTGCCTGCAAGCACAGCACAGTATCTTTAATCATGTCAAGGGTTGGCACTCTCCTATGCAACGATTCTCAGGTTGGGCCAGTCATTGGTTGGCCATTTCCTCAGTCCCTGCTCCATCTTTATCCCTGCAGGTCTTGTAAGCAGGGTAAATTTGGGTCGAAGGTTTTTTGGGTGGGTTGGTGTCCCTCTCCCTCCACTGGAAGTCCTGCCTGGCAAGGAGGTGACCTATTCAATCTCTATGTGCCCTGCAGCTAAGAGTCTCAGCTAGAGTCATCCCCGTATCCTTTTAGGATTCTACCCTGACACAGATCTCCAGCTTGTTTCAGGATGCCCTCCCACCTCAGTTTCCCTTCTCTCTTCCAGCCCTTTCACCTCCACCTGGAGATCGGGTATTCTTCCTACCTTATATCTGGAAGTTCAGGTAGACCTGCAAAAGAGACACACACAAAACAACTACCAAAAATAAAAAAAAACATATATAAGAATGTTCATAGGTATACTGCTCACAGAAATTAAAATTGGAAGTAATTCATTTTCCATCAGTGAGAAGTGAATCAGGCTCCACTCCTAGAAGTTAATGCTACTAACCTGAAACCTTGTTACTCAAGCTGCTACTTACTAAACATAAATGTTCACCACAGCAGTCAAGGACTAGAACAAATTAACTAATTCTATTAAATTAAATATACCATAAAGTGATATATAGTGAAAGATGTTAGTTCATTACTTCTTTAAGAAATTGTAGGTACTGATTTAGAAAGTCTAAGAAAGGACTTCACATGGAGTCCTGAATGCTTCATTTCTCTTTTCATTTTAATAAATGTCCATCTTTTTCAATTTCCTCTTACTCATATGTAAGCTTTAAACTTTTGTATTTCAATTAAAAATACATTATTTCTATTAAATTTGTCTGTCAACAGTTTTATATATACATGTAAAGTGAGTTCTAACTGCTGTAACTTCTACTCTTTCTATTCTCCTTTCCACACTTTCCCAGTCTCTTCCTCTCTGTAGCTCTTCTCTATCTCCCCCGACTTTCACTGAGTTTAATGTGGGTCATTTCTGTGATGATGAGTTGGGAGGTAGTCATGAGTTGGGAATGTGTTGAGCATGGCAGTAGGTACTCAGGAAAAGACGAACCCTGTTTCTATCCCAAAATAAGCAGTAGCTTGTGCTTCAGCAGGAAGAGGTGAACCCTATGACTCCCTCTGCATTCTATGAATGACTGTGCTGGTCCCAGTCTAGTATGGACCCATTGTTGGCAGCCATAACTGCCTTTTCTGCCATGCCAAGAAGTTAGTATTTGGGGGTGCTTCTCTTTTCTTTCAGCTCTTTTTTTCCAAATTTTTATTATTAGTTACATTTTATTAACTCTGTATCCCAGCTGTATCCCATTCCCTCATTACCTCCCAACTCCTCCCTCCCTCCCTCATCTCCTCCCTGCCCCTTTCCAAGTCCACTGATTGGGGAAGACCTCCTCCCCATTCATCCAATCCTGTTTTATCAGGTATCTTCAGGATTGGCTGCAAAGTCCTCCTCTGTGGCCTAGCAGGACTCCTCCTCCCTTGGGGTGTGGGGAGGTCAAAGAACCTGCCATTGAATTCCTGTCAGAAATAGTCCCTATTCCCCTAACCAGGGAAAAACAATTGGTTACTGAGCTACCACAGGCTACATCAGAGCAGAGGTTCTAGGTTATATCCATACATGGTCCTTGGTGGAGTATCAGTCTCAGAAAAGACACCTGTGCCCAGATATATTTGGTCCTTGTGGAGCTCCTATTCTTTCCATGTCATATTAACTCCCCCTTCTTTCATATGATTCCCTGCACTCTGCCGAAGGTTTGGTTATGAGTCTTAGTATCTGCTTTGATACACTGCTAGGTAGAGCCTTTCTGAGGCCCTGTCTGCGGTAGGCTCCTGTCCTCCTGTCCTGTTACTTGTTTTCGCATATGTCCAATGCACATCCCATTTGTCTTTCTAAGTGAAGGTTGATCATCTTACCCCGGGTCTTCTTTCTTGTTTATCTTCTTTAGGTGTATAGATTTCATTGTGTTTATCATATCTTATAGGTCTACATAAGTGAGTATATACCATGTATGTCTTTCTCCTTCTGGAATACTTGACTCAGAATGATCTTTTCTAAATCCCACCATTTGTCTGAAAATTTCATGATTTCCTTGTTTTTGGTTGCTGAATAGCATTCCATTGTGTAAAAATACCACAATTTCTGTATCCATTCCTCCATTGATAGACATCTGGGGTGTTTCTAGGTTCTGGCTATTACAAATAAAGCTGCTACAAACATGACTGAGCAAATGTCGTTGTTGTGTACTTGAGCATATTTTGGGTATATGCCTAGCAGTGGTATAGCTGGGTCTTGAGGAAGCACTATTCCTAATTGTCTGAGAAAGCGCCAGATTGACTCCCAAAGTGGTTGTACCAGTTTACAGTCCCACCAGCAGTGGAGGAGGGTTCCCCTTTCTCCACAACCTCTCCAGCATGTGTTGTCATTTGTTCATCCTTTTCCTTCTCCCAAAGCGACCCTCAATGCCTAAAGGTGGTTGTAGGAATGTTCTGTTTAGGGCTGAGAACTCAACCATCAGTAATTCTTACTATTCTAACCAGCCATGCATTCTTTGTTTTCATGAGAATATTCATATATTGAGTGGTTTCTCTAGATAAGTCTAAGAGTAGCCTTTGTCTATGGATATAAATATAACTATTTAGAGGGTAGCTTGGCACTATGGCAACCCAGCTAAAAAGCACGAGGTTTCCCCTGATGGGTCTAAGACTTCCTCAATCATATTTTTTGACTGGGATTTCAATACCAGGTATGAGTTCCTCATTATGGATCTGGGCATTTAAAAAATATCAGTTTATTTTGTAAATATTTACAGACAAAAAATTATAATTTCATGCATTTTTAAACTTCTTAAAATATTTTGATGAGGTGGTTTTAAACTAATTTTGGATAGCATCTTTTTTCTCTTATAGTTAATGACCCATTTCCTTCCTTCTGTTACAACCAATTCTCCATAAAATCACTGTAACGTTTTCCTAACTGCTTTCCAGTACACTGGAATCCACTCCTTCCCTTTCAGCACTGAAATGTCTTGCTAAGGACAGTAATGAGATCCTCTCACTCGAACGGCTCTGCACCGTCAGATAGATTTCCCCATCTTCCTCACTGCATCACTTAAACACACTTTCCCTCAACTTTTGTGACAGTTTTCTTTTTCTCTGCTATCATCCCCCTCTCTCTTTAACTGATCATTTATGACTCCCTTCCAAGCTCATTTTCTTCAGTTCAGTGCTAAATTCTGGACCTTATAAGGGCTCAAGATTTCCTAATGTCATTTACTTTACTAAGAAATCACATCTGCTTTTGTGTTTGACATGGTTTATGCCAAATATGCATTTCCTGTTCATAAATTTCTTTTGTCATGCAATTAATAATTTCTTTTTTTACAATCAATTTTTTATTTGTTTGTTTTACAAGCAAATAGCCTAGTGGCTACTACATCCTGGGCACCAGCCATTTCTAGTTGTATAATATGTCAAAACAATTTATGATACATTAGTTTTGAAAATGTCATGGCTTTATGTGAATCAAATAGAATAAAACAAGGCTAAACTTAGTTGAGCCTTCTAGTCCATCTGTAGAAGTTTATATCACCATCTCATAAAAATTATCCTTGCTTTAAATTTTTTATTTTTAATTTTTTATTGAAAATAGATTTTGTTTATACATAATACATTTTGATTATGGTTTCCCCTCCCTTAATTCCCACCAGATTCCCACAATTCCCTATTCACCTTGATACACAGCCTTTGTTTTTCTTTCTCATTAGAATATAAATAAAAACTAATAAAATTTAATAAAATAAAAACTAATACAAATTTTAAAACTAATAAAATAAACAAACAAGACACAAAACAAACAGAAAAAAAGAGCCAAAGTAAACAAGAAAACACAAGAAACACATACAGACACTTAGAAACACACACAAAAAAATTAAAACAAAATAAGAAACCATAATATATAAGCAAAAGATCTGTGAGATAAAACCAACCAACCAATAAGAAAACAAAAAAAAGAGCCCAGACAAAGCATTGTGAGATAAAACAAAACAAAACAAAACAAACAAACAACAACAACAACAACAACAAAACCCAAAAAACAAACATTGAGTTGGCTCTGTGCTTTCTGTCTACTGGGCATGGGACATGTCCTTAAGAGTGGTTTGTATCCCTGTGAAGACTTTGTTGGAGAGAACTGAGTTTTCATTTTTGAACAACTATTTGATCGGGTACCTTCTGAGTTAGGGATGGGGGGGGGCATGTGTCCACTTCTATCAGCTTTCAAACCCCATCTAAGTGCAGACCCATGCAGGCCCTGTGCATTTTGTCACAGTCTCTGGGATTTATTGCATGCATCAGTCTTGTATTCTCTATGTTCTCTAGCCGTTAC